TTCCACGAAAGGTACTGTAAATCTGGGAGATATGTGACTTTTCTGCCTACCCCATTTTCTGCGTGAACCCGGACCACAACAAGTTCGTCACCCGGTCACCGCGCAAGCTGGTATAACCAGTTGAGCTAGCAAACCAGGCAGAGACTCGTTTCACAAATAGATCATTTAGGTCTGAGGAGAATGGTGCTGTGGGAAAGTTACCAAGGGATCAGGCCGACGCTCAACGCTCAAGGGAAATGCGAGACGGATGTAAAATCAGACAGTCACTGGTACCATCGGAATTGGAACTCTTCATTTGTTGCCGAAGATGGGGACGAAACGCTTATGGAAGTATCCCGAGTGCCGTGATGTCGATTCCGAATTCAACATACAACTCATTTTCATGAGGACAGATTCTGTCCTGATCTCATGCTCTAAACAGGAGAGGCTTATCCAGAGAATCAAAGACAGTCTTGATATAATGTCCAACAAGAGCCTGACTGTGTCTTCATTTGATGCCAGCTCCTTGTGATCTCCCAGGACACGATCAGGCGGATGAGCAAGACGAAGGTCCGGCAGGCAGTCAACAGCAGACGAGCCGTCGCGCCTTCGCCACTTTCCCCTGCAGTAATTCTTCCGTGTATGGGACACAATGTATTGACCGCGTCGAACGAACCCTAGTCATAACACCCCTAGAACATAGGACAGCCTTTGGGAATGGATACGAAATCCCGCAGCCGAACGAGATGGCGTGAGAATCGTACCCGACTACAAATGGCTGTCTGACAATGTTTGCTGTGATCAAGAATTCAATCCTCAGGATTACTGCTGTTGTGTGCTCCGACTTATTAGTAAGGGGGGGGGGGGGGGTGTGGATTTGCGGGGTGTGTGAGTTTGCGGTGTGGGTTTGCGGTGTGGGTGTGGGGGGGGGGGAGGGTTGCGGTGTGGGTGTGCGGTGTGTGTGGGTGTGGGTGTGGTATATGCACATAAATGAAATACATATACCGAATGAGAATGCTAGCCATTAACTTAATAGTACTCTCTATGTTGGTTCTGGGACCCCACATTAAGATAGATCTACCTCCCCCCTCCCCCTTTTTTTCCCTAACAAGCATGATGTACACAAATAAAAAAGGTGTTTTTTTTTTCTTTTCTTCTGAAGTTTTAGTGCATCTTCATGATGCAAGGAACCAACAGTTTGCAAACACATAAGTCATGTCTGTAAAACATATATGCATACAAAACAGAAATTCTGGAATAAGACCAAGGTCTAGAAGCGGACCGAACAACCAGAACTTTCCCTCGGAGTTTACAGCCGGTGAACGCTAACAAGAATACGAAGAAGAAGACTTACTTGCATGGCCATAAATTAAAAGAAAATATGCGTGCCCACAAACAATCCACGACAGGGACAGAAAGCGAAGACCATGGATGACCGTGAATGAGCCTGGAGCCTCCGTGGTGGACAAGAGACGTTTCCCGTTTGTGTAAGTGGAGAATGCCAGAAGAACGTTCACACACACACCTGTGAGACAGACATTAAGAACTGCTTTGGAAATATCGCCATTAAATACGCATTGGATCACATAACAAACTAAGTCAATCAAAGAGCCTTTTTCGCAAATGAGGCGCTCCAGGAAGGTCAAGCTTAGTTTATTTAATTACAGACAACTGGGTATGTGGTCAACATCTGGCCAGTCGCCTTTACTTCCCAGGACAATTTGTGACTTATATATGTGTAGTGAGTCATAATGAGAATTCTTAAAAGCTATGTAAATCCTATCTTGTATGTGGCAGTCAATCATGCACAGTTGGGAGATTAGTGAAAAATATTTTGGAAGCTGCGGAGATGTTTTTTTTTTTTTAGACGAATGATGAGAATATCATGGGCAGATAAAAAGAGTATTGAAGATGTCTTGAAAGAAACTGACCCACAAAGAGAACTCATTGCCCACATTAGAAAGGGACAACAGACATTCTTTGGTCATGTTATAAAAAGGAGAAAACCAGAGTAAGTTTTGAGTAGGAAAGCTGGAGGGGATGAGAGGCGGATGGAGACCAAGAGAAAAGATGCTAGACGATTTGACATCATAGTATAGAGGATAATCTGTGTCAGAGTTGATGGAATGTACACGAGACAGAAGGTTGTGTTGACGACTACCAACGCCACACGGCATGGTATTATAGAAGAAGAAGAAGAAGTCTTATTGTGGAGAATGTCTGGTGTGTTAGTCGCCATGTTTCATGCTGGGGAGTGTAGACGGTAATGAATCATGGCTTGCAATCTCACACAATCATCACAGGTATGCTCTGTGCAGAGTTGCAAGCATCGTTTTAGCGGTTCTTCGTAGTTAGCATCCTTTGGATAGTCTCTCAAGGGTCTGTCGGTGTACTGGGGAACGAGCAGGCAGATAGACTAACCGTTTCCAGGCAGATAGACTAACCGTTTCTGCACCACTTGGTGCTGAACTGATGTATGACAAGCTAGATGTTGTAAGGGCCCTTGGGAGCGAGTGAACAG